TTGTCATCCTCTTTTCATTGCATTGTTTCAGAGATAGTCTTTAAAACTATAATAAGTTGGTTGATGTCTAAGTTCCTGAAAACCACACAGAGATTTTTCCAGTGGTGAAATGTGGGCACAACAAACACAGACCATGTATCTCTCTAGCATTTAATGTCTTACAAATAGTTTCTGAAGCCAGACCAATATCACTTTAACTATTCAGAGTCAAGCACCAATAGATGTAAATTCAAGCCTAGTGGTTATGCAGTTAAAGTAACAAATGGCATAATTAAGGTTTTGTATACAGTTCCATTTTAACTTCCTGTGAACACTTGCCTATTATAAGATTTGTGTGACGTAGGATCATAGACAAGTAGGGCTGGAAAGGACTTTGAGAGGTCATCTAGGCTGATCTGAACAAAAGCAGGACCAAGTATATCTAGACTATCCTGGATAGATGTTTGTACAACTTGTTCTTAAAAACCTCCAGTGGCAGAGTTTCAACATACTCTCTTGGTAACCAACTCTAATAATTAACTCTCTTATAGTTAAGAAGTGTTTTCTAATATCTAACCTACATCTCCCTTACTGCAGGTTAATTTCATTACTTCTTGTCTTCCCCTCACAAGAACAGCTGACCACAATCCTTTTTATAACAATCTTTAACATATCAGAAAATTGTTGCCAGGTCCCCTTCAGTACTCTTCTCTCAAGAGTAAATATACCCAATTTTTCAACATTTTCTCAGGGTCAGGTATCCTAAATCTTTCAGAGTTTTCGTTGCCATCCTCTCACTGCCAGTGTAGGATTAGGATGACCAGACTGTAGGCTAGTGTGATGTGCTGATGGGGGTGCATTTGATTGGTCCCACATGACTTTACTTACAGCCAACCAGGGAGGGAGGGAGAGAACGAAAACACACATCCAAGCTACAGCTTGAGGCATTCATTCTCTTGTCCAGGTAACTCCTCTTGTGGGCACAGAAGCAGGGGTGAGTGCCTGTGGGGGGTTCCCTGCTTTCCAGGATAGAGGAACCCCCCTCCCCGTGGATGACATTTGGAGAGTGGGTGGGTCAGGTTGTGCTGGAGGAGGCTTAGGAAGGGTGGCGGAGGTTGGTACGGTGGGGAGGGGATCGAAGGAGGAGTGTACAGCTTGTCTCTGTTTGTTCTATCTGGTTGGGAGCATATAGCAGCCCTTCTGTCTGGATTTGAGTTAGTGTAACAAGTCCAGTTCTACCTTCCTTCTCTTCCCCTTTGCCCTTAGGAACCCCATTTGTTCAGGAAAGGGCTTGCTCTTTTTCCTTGTGGTACCAGCATCACTGGAACACAGTTAGTGCTGCACAGTGGGCACTGCTAACTGAGGCACTGCTTGCAGACTGCCTGCTCCCATCCCATCCCTTCCCTTCCCTGCAGAGAGGTCATATTATGACCCATCCCATCCCTTCCCTGCAGAGAGGTCACATTATGACCCCTACTCCTCCCCTCAGTTTTCTGCCAGGGCGTGGCTGCAGAGCTCTCTCCTCCTCCTTCCCCTGTTTGCTGGAGGCAGCCTGGGACCAGGACATGAGAGGCAAACAAACAGCACCTGCACCAATTAGCTTCACTCACTTGTTCCCAAAATCAGGCAGATGGGTTCACAGGGAGATAAATGCATGTGACTGAGATTAGCTGCTACACGTGCCTCCCCAGCCTCCATCTGAACTGGAGTGGGATGGGTGGTGTCTGCCCACCTGCTGTGACCTTCTTGAAACCTATTACCTTTCATTGAGTCAGTGACTTCTGATCCACGGCCTCAGCTTCTCTTTTTTAAAACTGTTTTTGTTTCCACTACAGGTTGTACTTAACAATGTGCTGAAATGCCTTGGGGCAGAGGGTCTTGTCTACGATGTTGTTTTATGCATATTTCTACACTGTTGTGGTGTGCCTACTTCTAGGGTGTTTCAAGATTAAAAACAAGAAAACTCTTTTCTGTACTCCATACCCTGCAAATCTCACTCATCCTCTGGAAGTCACTGGGGTTCCTGCTGTTAGTGTGAAGAACTGAGTGTAAGCAGGGGAATGGTCCCGCTATTGTGGGGAACTTTCCTGGCTTCTATACCACCCCGGTGAAATGGACCAGCGAAAGGATCTGAGTCCCTGCTCCCACTTCCTTTACCCCATGGCTTCCCTGATCCTGAGGGCTCCCCCTCCACTCTCCTGAGTAGCAGAGTCCTCGAAACCCCAACAAGGCTGGGCCCAGGTTTCCTGGGGCTTAATCCCCGACCTTGTAGTCACTAGGGGCAGGAGTTAGGGTGTCCCCACCCCAAGGTGCTCTCTTCAGACTGCATGCTTTCTTGGCCCAGTGATCATTTCATAAGGTTCAAAGCAAATACAATTTATTAAACATCAGCTGATTAAAGAGAAAAGAATAAGAAAGAATGAGAGTGGTTAAATGAGAACACACAGCAATTGCCCAATGCTTTTACAGGGTAGAAAACCCTAAACTTAGCTGTACTTAACTAATTACAAACTTCTTTGATTACAATTAACTATACCAAATCACTGTCTCTGATTTGCTTAACAAAAAATACAAAAACAAAGACAATATAGTGATAATAAAAACTTTGTCCAAAGCCAGCCCCTCTATGGTTATTTTAGGGCAGCTGGTGGAGTTAGTCATAAATCTACTTTTACAACTTAACAACTCCTGAGCTTCTATTTCTAACACTTATACTTAGCCTAAATACAACACTACTATACAACACAAGATTATACAATGTGGTTAACAGAACTTAGATACATTTTACAGAATTACACAGTGAAATTAACACCATTTAACTATTAATTAAACCAATAACTAATACATTTAAGCAATACTTACAAATCCAGAAACAATAACAACAGAAAGACACACTAGAAC